AAGAAAGAAAGAAAGAAAGAAAGAAAGAAAGAAAGAAAGAAAGAAAGGCAACAAAGATTGAAAGGGGTCTGGAGGCAAAACTGTATAATGAACAATTAAGAGAACTAGGCCTAATGAAGAGAAGGAATAAGGATAAACAGTTGTCTTCAGCACTTGAGGGGCTACCCAGAGAAGAGGGGGTTGACTTATTCCTAAAAGCACCTGAGGACTGGACAAGAAGCAATGGGTGCAAGCTGGTTAAAGAGTCCACCAGGACCTAAGGAGAAATTTACTGTAAGAAATTTACTGTAAGAAGCTTGCCTCCTGCAACTGTGCATGGTCCATTGCTGGAGTTTTTCGAGAAAATATTGGGCAGCCATTTGCCTTGGGCAGGGTTCCAACATTCCTTCTAGTCCTATGATTCTATGAAAACTTTCCAGCATTTCTAAATAGCACAGATAGTGGTGAGCTGCACTGGTGGTTGTTATCAAGCAGCATCTGAAGACCTATATGTTCTCCAAATAACAACCCACTACCCATATTTGGAAAAGCTATTGTAATATTGAATTAGATTACTTCAAAGCCTTACAAAATATGCAATTAGCAATACATGTTTTAAGCCTAGGAAGTGACAATGTAACATTAAAAAAAAATCTCCAAATTGCAACTCATTGCATGGATTCAATATTAACTAAATCATAATGTGTTTGGGTTAGGTTGGGTTGGTGAGAACCCAGACAGTTGTAATTTGTTCATTATTAAACCAGGGTTTAGCATACTGTGTGGACTTAGTTATGATTTTGTTTCTTTCCTCATTCCTTCTCTTAGACAACATTTCTTCTTCAGATATGACATTTTATAACGCAACTAAATCTTTGGCAAAAATGATAGATTCACATGGAGATTGGATTCCAGTACCCAGCTTGATAGACCAGAACAATTTTAGGCCCTTTTGCGTGCTGCAAAAGAAAAGGAAGACATCGTGGTGGCAGAGCTGTCCTTTTCTCAAAACTGACTATCAGTTACATCATCTGCTGTTATCAGGAAATGACACTTCAAGTCTAGGTAATCTTCAAGAGTCTATCTCATTCATATATTTTTACTTATGGAATTATCTGTCTGTTACATTTTGCGAAAAGTATAAAAAAATTGAAGAATACAACATTTTTATCACTAACTTTTGTATTACCCGTATGTATGTACTCAAAATGTATGAACAAAGTTTTCTGAGATTTTCAGAGGCAGAAAGATAAGAGAATGAATATTCAGTGATTGATGGTAAGCTTTCAGGACCCTTGATCTCATGTTTATGAAAACTGGAATAAATAGCAAAGTTGAAAAAATAGATTATCCAAAATCCATTTATACTGTCTAAAACAAGACTCAGCATGCATTTTTATAGCGTTTATGTCCTACTAAAGCTTTGTAAGGCTAAGGAGATGATGTCACAGGTGTTGTTGAGACTGCAAGTTTTGGACTCATTTTCCCACCCACTGAGGGGTATTTAAGGACCAAGACTGAGTGCCCGAGGGCTACCTTTTCTACATAGAAACATTTTTACCATCATCATCATCATCATTATTATTATCATTATTATTATTATTACAGTATACATAGAAGATGAGATAACCATGCTTCGTTTCGTATCACAAATCACTAGTCGAACACTTCCCAAGTGTTTAGGACTGCGTGATGTATTGGCGAATTATGCAAGCAGATCCCAGTAAGATGGCCTTCTGCAGCTCACCAATGGTGATCTTGTCAGTGCCAATTGTTTTTAAGTGCTTACCTAGGTCTTTAGGCACAGCACCCAGTGTGCCAAGTACCACTGGAACCACCTGCACTGGTTTATGCCAGAGTCTCTGCAGTTCGATTTTCAAGTCCTGATATCTGGTGATTTTTTCAAGTTGTTTCTCCTCGATTCTGCTTTCACCAGGTATGGCAATGTCAACGATCCACACTTTTTTCTTCTCCACAATCGTGATATCCAGGGTATTGTGTTCCAAAACTTTGTCAGTCTATATTCGGAAGTCCCACAGTAGTTTTGAATGCTCATTTTCGACCACTTTCTCAGGGTTATGATCCCACTTGAGAATAATAATAATAATAATAATAATAATAATAATAATAGTTGTTGTTGTTGTTGTTATTGTTATTATACATAAAAATGTCTACATAAACAGTGTGTTGTTTGGGTACAGTTCATTTTGAGAAATAATAATGATATAGCAATAATAATCACATCATCATCATGAACATCATCATCATGAACATCATCATAGCTTATCCATTTTAGTAAACCTTCCTTATATAATTAAGCATTCTCTTATGCTTTTAAATGTCTAACTTCTGTTTCTGTTAGTTAGCCATTCGTAAAACAAATCCAATGTTAAAAAACATTCAGTTTCTTCTTTCTCCTTAATTTTAAGTATTAATCTATCCATTTGTGCACTTACTACACTTTCATCTGTAGGGATCCCTTCATTTTTCCACTGTTGTGCAAACACAATTCTAGCCACTAGAATTTAACCCATGTAAAATTAAATATGTATTTCCTTTATTGTATTTTTCTGGTAAGATACCCAACAAAAATATTTCTGGTTTTAAATCTATATGTTGCTTTATCATTTTTTCTCACCATGTATGTATTTTTGTGCATTTTTTTTTGTTTTTGGGCATGTCCACCACATATGATAATATGAACCCAATAACTGATTACATTTCCAACATTTAGCGGACATGTCATTAAACATCTTTGCCAATCTTTTTGGTGGAAAGTACCATCTATAAAACACTTTATATAAATTTTCCTTATGTGCAGTTGACATTGTTAGTTTATAGTTCCTATCCCTCAATTTCTATTTATCTAACTATAGTCGGGGGTGGGATTCAAATTTCTTAAAAACCAGTTCTGTTGAGAGCAGTTACAGCAGCACAGGCGACTCAGGAGTAAGGCTGCAAGGTAATGACCCCTCCCTCAAAAGGATAAAATCCAGGTTTAAAGAAGCATTCTTTGCAGAAGGCAAAGATGCTCTGAAACTCAGCCTCGTGGACATTATAGCAAGTATTTGAAAACTCTTGTAAACTATTTCTTATCTGTGGGTTTTGGCAGCCTCGGAGAACAACTTGACAAGGCTCTTTCTTGTTGGAGTTAATTACTGGCGGGGCTTGTTGCCTTTGCCTCCTCACTCACCAATTGGTGGAAGACAAGGCAGAAACAACGGTGCAGTGGGCTGCGGGCGAGGGAAGATGACAGCAGGCAAACAAAGATGGCGGCTGGCCAAAGATAGCAAGCAAAGACTGGGTGACCCGGGAATTGGCATTCAACTGGGGCTGGCAGCCGTGGCAGCAGGAGATAGGCGACCGCCTTACTGCCTTTGCCTCCTCACTTATCAATCGGTGGTGGAAGGCAAGGCAGGAACAATGGAGGGCCGCGGGAAGACAGTGGCGGGCAAGGCAGGCAGTGTCGGCAAGGGCATCTGCAGTCCAGGAGTCATTGTCGGGACTCAACCGGGGCTAGTGGTGGCAGCAGGTAGGCGACCGGGTGTTGCTTGGAGGTCTCACTCACCAATCTGCATTTTTGGTAACAGAAGCCAGTCGGGGGAGGCAGTCTAGGCAAAGCAGGCCGTCCAGGCAAGGCAGGAAGGCAGGCCTGGGAGGCAGGCTGGGCAAGGCAGGCCTGGGGGGCAGGCCTGGGGAGGCAGGCGGGGCAAGGCAATCTGGTCGGGCAAGGGCAGCAGTCCAGCCAGGCTAGAGGGAGGTAGCGACCGGGGCTTGCCCTCCCTCACCCAGGGCAGAAGAAGGCAAGCAGCAATGTCTGGCTAGCTGGCTGGCTGGCTCAGCTGCTGATGCTGCTGGGAGCAATGGTGCCGGGCAGGAAAATGTAGGAAGCGTAGCACATGAGCTATAAGTAGTGACTGGGCGGGGAGGAACAGGGCAGATGGGGGAGAATACAGTCAGCTATTGTCATGCATGTGCGTGATGTCGTGCATGCGCAATAATGGCTGACTGGGCCAGGAACTGAGGAGTGGGTGGGGCGGGACTGGCAGCAGGGGAGAATGCCATCCCCGATTGTTGTGTATGCATGCAATGTTGCGCATGTGCAATAATGAATGATTGGACCAGGAACAGAGGGGCGGGTGGGGGAGAATGTTGCGCATACGCACAAATGTCGCACATGTGCAATAATGAAAAACTGTTCCAGGAGCAGGTGAGCAGGTGGAGAGGGGCGGGGTCAGCCAGGGGCCCGTTTTACTGGTTCTCCAAACTACTGGGAACATTAACAAGCGGTGTGAACTGGTAGAATCCCACTCCTGCCCACGGACCATATCTAAACATCCAGTACTGGTCCGCGGGCCTTGAGTTTGACACTCCTGGTCTTGACTCTAGAAAAATAATGCAGTCTCTTGAAAGGCCATTGCAAAGAATAAAAGACTCTTATAGTCAGGGTTCCAAATAGAACAGAATTTCTTTGTTCCAAATAAAAAGGTAGAAACAGTCTTGATTGATGACAAGTATCACAAGATGATATCTGCCATCAGAAGTAGCAAAACACTCAAATTTGTCTTAACAGTTCTTTGTCAAGGTAGATTTACAATATTTTTTCTCTTAAGCATAGGGAAATAAATAAGTAGCTGTTGTGAAACAACTATCTATTATTCACAGACAAAGATGAAACAAGTTTCTAGAGCACACCCTCACCTTTCAAAGGCACTTTTCAAGAGATGTCAAGAAGTTTAAATTGAAAATATACCAACGTGCAAGTGGAAATATTTCCCACTTTCTGGAACTCTTAATATGAACTGTAATTAATTCTATAATACTGATTTAGATTAGAAACAGTTTGATTCATTATCAACAAAATGCTTTACTGGTAGGATAGTTTTTCTCTCATTAAAATAGTTGTCTGCTGCTCTATTTCTATGTGTTTCTGTAGTACTTCTTCAAACTTATAATTTTTGACAATATTTGTCCTCTAGTTCAGAAGGATTCAGAGTTATTCACCCTTGAAGAAACTGTAGATGGAATGCTGAAGGGGGATATTAGTGGAATTACTGACACTGAAATAACTAGTGCTGTCAGCATTTCTCATGAAAGGTCTGTAAAGATGAAAAAGATACATGTTCCAATTGAAGACCTTGATTCTTTGATGAAAGAAAAGTAAGTATAACATAAACAGCCAAATGAAAAAAAGACTCCAGTCACATTTAACATTGTCCTCAAGTTTGCCATTCTTCTAAAACAGTGCTTTATATAAAGTCTCTGATTAACTGACTTCAATTAGTTTTAATTTTTGCAATCACAAGCTTTTCTGCAGGAGAATCTGTACCCAACCTAATCTTTCAGGTCTTCCAGTTGAGCCTATCTTCCTTATTGTTGCTGGTCCTCTTTCCTTCTACCCTTCCTAGCATTACAGCTTAGTCATAGAACTATGTCATTGGGACTCCAAAATATAGTATAATTTAAAGCCTTTAGACAGCTATAAATCTTCAATTGCAACAAGATTTAATTATTTCTAAGCATTAACCAAATATGGTAAAGAACATAGCTTAGAAATGTACGCAGAAAATGGAAAGGAAATCAACAGTATAGGATTATGAGCTGTGGTGGTTAGAATGGGCATTGTTATAATTACCTGAGAATGCCCTTTCTATCTACGCTGCAAGAGTGTCCAGGAATGAGTTAAGCTCCTCCTTCCAACATCATAGAGCTGAGTCTGCCACTATAAAAAGCCAGCCTCAGGCTGGCCCACCCATCTTTTAGGTGAGGATACTTGACAGACGTACTGTCTCTGGAAGATAAAGAAGAAATTAATTTCACCCCTCCCCAACCATCATAACCAGATATATAGGGTGGGGCTGGACTCTCTTGCAGCGTAGATAGAAAGGGCGTTCTCAAGTAATTATACCAATGCCCATTCTCCTATATGCTGCTTCGAGAATCCAGGAATGGGACATACCAAAGCCTGCATGTTCATGGGAGGACCAACGTCTGGTCCAGTCACTCTGACTGAGGAACCACCTGTTGAAGCATCCTCTGACCAAACAATACTTGGGCTGAAACAAATAAATTCAGGCGATAATGCCATATAAATGGCGAAGTCAAAGCCCAAGTAGCTGCTCTGCAGCTCTCCAGTGATGCCTGAGTAGACCAGGCGGCCAAAGTAGCTGCACTCTTAGTGGAGTGGGCTGTGACATGTCTGGAAACTAGCATGGACAAAGTTTGCTATGCCTTGGATATACAAGCTCTAATCCACCTACCAATTGTCAATGCAGTCACCTTGTTCCCCAGGGTAGAGGGATGGAATGACACAAACATGGCTTCAGATTTTTGAAAGACTGCCATCTGTTTGATGTAAATCCGAAGGGCCCGCCTCACATCCAAAGTATGCTATCTGTGTTCCAATTCATGTTGTCATCTGGGGCAAAAGTCTGGCAACACATCTTGTGCCAGGTGAAACCACATGTTTATCTTAGGGATAAACGTGGGGTCTAACCTAAGAACTACCCTGTTCTGATAGAAAAGACACAGGTCCTGTCGCACCAAGAGTGCTGCTAATTTGGACACTCTCTTGGCCAAGGTAATGGCCACTAAAAATGCTACCCTGAGGGACAGCATTTGTAGAGATACAGATCTGAGGGGCTCAAAAGGGGGCCTTGTTAGAGTTTGTAACACTTTAGGTAAATCCCAAGTGGGAAACCTATGTACAACAGGGGGTCGAAGGTTAGACCCCCTGCACACCGAAGGGTGATGGGACCAAGAAGCATAACTGTCCCAGGATAGAACAGGGGAGAGAGGCACTACCTGGCAGCGAAGCGTGTTGGGGCAAGTCCCTTGCCTAAGCCCTCTTGTAGGAACATTTGAACCTCTGCCACAGAAGCAGAAGAGGGGTCTCTGGCCAAAGGCATGCACCAGGAGCAGAATACTCTCCAAGTCGCATCATAGATGCATGTGGTAGACGGCTTTCGGGATGCTTGAATGGTGTCGATTACCCTTTCAGGAAAGTTGGAAGCCCTCATAGAGTGCCGCTCAAGCGCCAAATGGTTAAGCTGAACCACTGGGGGTTCAGGTGAAGTAATGCCCCCTGATGCAGGGAGATCTTGGATGCCAGGATCTTCCATGGCTGGGACACAGACAGGTTCACCAGATCTGCGAACCAGTGTCTCCTGGTCCACTGGGGCACCAGGAGAATTAGCTCCACCTTTACCTCCAACAACTTCCGAATTACAGCCAGAATAATGGGAAGAGGAAGAAAGGTGTAGAGGAGACCCGGAGGCCAGGCACTCCAAAGCACATTGGTCCCCTCCACTCCCTGGGTCAGAAACCTGATGAAGAACCTGCCCAACTGGGTATTCTGGGGGGTGGCAAAGAGGCCTATGGTTGGAGGATCCAATCAGCATGACAAGTCCTGAAACAGAGAGAGGTGTAGACTCCACTCTGCCTGGTCTGCTGTGGACCAACTCAACCAGTTGACCTGGACATTGTCAACTCCCAATATATGGCCCACCCTGATTGAAAGGAGGTGTCTCTCTGCCCACCTCCCAGGAACTCTGCCTCTCTCATCAAGGCCCTGGACCTGGTCCCCCCTTGCCTGTTGGCATGGGCCTTTGCGGCCACATTGCCCGTCATGACTAACACATAGTGAAGCCACCCTGTTCTGGAAGTGTTTCAGGGCTAAGAAAATAGTTCCAGCCAATTTATGGGGCATGTCATTTCTGACTGTGACTAACACCCCTGGGCTATTTCCCCTTCTAGATGGCTCCCCAGCCGTGGAAACTGGCATCTGTGTTGAGCCGGATCCTGTCTGACTCCTTGAAGGGAAACCCCCTCTCTAGAGCCTGGGACTGCCACCATGTGAAGGAGCGAAGGACCTGATAAGGAACCTGTACCCTTATGGTAGCATGGCTGGCTCCTGCCTGTTGAAAGGGGAGCAAGAACCATTGGAGTTCCCGGGCATGGAGATGGGCCCACGGGATGATCCCAATGTAGGAGATCATCTTTCCCAGGATCTGGGACAGTAGAGACAACGAGACAATGCTCTGTCGCCGAATCTGACTGATGCCACTTTAAAGGCTCTCCCCTCGGTCCGGGGAGAGGAACACGGTGTAAAGTGATGTATCTATAATTGCCCTGAAGTGAAGCAACCTGGTCGTGAGGGAAAGGTGACTTTTCCTTAGATTGATCAAGAACCTGTGGTCTCTGATCTGCAATGTGATGTGAAGGTTGTGATTGGCCGAGTGGGTTGACTGTGATTGTATGAGTATGTCATCCAGGTAGCACTGGACCCTCACCAATATGGTGTGAACCGAAGCTGCCAAAACTGCCAAGATTTTAATGAAGACCCTTGGAGCTGACGAGAGACTGAAGGGTAAAGCCTGGTAATGGAAATGGTCATTCTGATAACAAAAATGGAGAAACTGGCAATGATGAGGCCAGATAGGAATGTGGAGATAAGCCTCTGTGAGGTCTATGGAGGAGAGGAGGTCACCCTCTAGAACGCTCTCAAGGATAGAAGGCAAGGTCTGCATCTTAAAACACCTGTATGGGATACATTTGTTTAAGAATTTAAGGTCCAAGATGGCTCGCCACCTCCCCAAAGGCCTTTGGGATCATGAAGAGGCAAGAATAGAAGCCTTGCCCTCATTGATTCTCCGGAACCGTTTGAACACCTTATATGTCAATGAGATCTTGGATTGCCGATTCTGTAAGGGCCCGTTTAGAGCGGTCCCTGGAAGTGGGGCAGCGAATGAACTATTATGGAGGTGGGGAGAGAAACTCCAGTTGGAGGCCCGACTTCACTGTCTCAAGAACCCAGGTGTCCAATGTAGACTCCTCCCATTTGGAGGCGAAGAAAGCCAAATGGCCTCCGATGGGGGGGAGATGGTGCACCCATTTTGAGCATCTGAATGAATGACCTACTCCCCCTCGAAAGGGCCATTTACTGGGGACTTGTTGCTGCCTGCCGGAAGCTTCAGGACACTGTTCTTGGTGAGCAGGAAAGGACCTCTGAGGTCTAGAGAACCGAGAGCTGGGTTTGGGTCTGAAAAACGAGGGGCAAAAGTATGGCCCGGGGCGAGACTCAGACCTTTTCCCCATCGAAGAGAGGACCTTCCTCTTGTCCTTGGTCTCTGTCAACTATGGTTTAAGGACATCACCAAATAGGTTATCGCTCATGCATGGAGCTGATGCCAACTTCCATTTACCATGGGAATCAGATTGCCAGTTGCATAGCCAAAATAGCCACCTGCCCACCACTTCATGACATGAAGAAGTCATGGCCCTGGAAGCGAACTTGGCCGAGCTCAGAGTGGTGTCTGCCATAAACTCCGCCGCCGCAATTATGTTATTGAGATCTTGATGTGCTCTGAACTCAGTGGCCGGGAGCCTCTATTGAAGCTGGGGAAGCCAGTGCAGTGAAGATTTTTTTAAAAAAAGAGGGTGCCGTTGGTGCTCTAATCGCCCAAGCTGCTGCCCGGTGAGTGCGCTTTAGGGTTTGCTCAGACCATTTGTCCTCTGCCTTGAGCACATCCTCTGGTTCAGTGTGGGTGCCTGAGGAAGAAACAATGCCACCAACGAGCATTCACCAAAGGTACCAGCAGGGCATTGGCCAGGGACGGGCCCACATTATAGAATCGTCTGTTGTGAGCAGACGGGCGAGGCCCTGCCCCTGGAGAGGTACACTGTTCCTTCACTAGATCAAGGAAAATCAGTGGGGAGGGGAGCACCTCTGTATGTACCACTGGCTTGGAGAACAATGAATCAGTGTGACCAGATTGGTAGCCTGTGGTTCTGGGGCCACCTCCTCAGGGTTTAGCTGTGCAGTAACCAAAGCCTTGTGTAACAGAGGCTTGAATAAGGAAGGCCTCAAAACTCCTGCTGATGGAGGCTGATCAACTCTAAAGTCCTCTTCCTCAGACATATTGGGGTCTATGAGTTCTCCTTCCTCTTCCTCAGAATGAGTAGAGCGACTATGGTCAGAGGCCTCGGAATAGTCTACTTCTTTTTCCTCCCCCCACTCCAAATGGGAGGGCTGGAAACAGAACTGCTGTCTGGGAATACCCTTCTGAGAGTGGGGGACTCCTTGGGGAAAACCCTGATGTAACAAGAACATGCCTTCCCCTTGTGGGTGAAGGAATTGTTTAAATCCTTCTGCTAGACCCTGCCTTATGGTTACAGAGACCATTTCCCTAAGGTCCTCGGGACTATTCTCCTCAGGAGGTAAGCCTGCAGCTGTGGGGGTGTAGGTTGCTTCAGGCTTAAGCCTATGCCCCACTTGAACCCCCTGACCACCGAGGGAGGAAGGAAGGGCCAGACCCCCAGGTAGCCTGTCTAGAGGAAAGCCCTGATCTGCTTAGGTCCTGGGAAAACTGTTCTTCCTCCACTTTCTCTGGGGATCAAGCTAACAGGTGACTGTGAGCAGATTCCGGCCCCCCTTAAAAGAAACTTCAGGGCTAACGTGCACCTCCCCAGAGTGAGGAGAATGCTGAATCTGGGCCTTTATCTGAGCCTTTTGCAAATTGTTCCTTAAGTGCTGCATTGAAGCAGCCTCTCTGTTAGCAGAAAGGCCTCTTTGTCTTTTCTTTTTCCTCAAAGGGGCTTGGGAGTGTTGGGAGTCTTCCAGTCCTTTGGGGCCAGGTTGAGGGGCTTCCCTCTCCATCTGGTTAGCAGAGCAGACACCAAGAGTACTGTGAGCTTCCTTCATGTAGGTGCTACCTGTTGCCTAAGCCAGGCGAGTTAGGAGACTGTGAGGCCTTGGGGAGGCACTTTCCACCAAAACAAAATGGCCACCTGGCAATTCTAAAATGGCTACCTGGCAATTCTAAAATGGCTGCCCGGCAATTCTAAAATGGCCACCCACCAGTGGGGTGGCCCTGGGATGACCTAGCCACCATCTTTGCTCTTTAGTCTCTTACCAGGCCCTGAGCAATCGAATTAAGCCGGAACAGCTGAGAAGTGGCAGGAATGAAGTTCCGGAGTCAGCTATAAAGCGGTTTGGCTGGTGGCGGCAACAACAAGGTTGCTATCAGTGGGGCTCCGTGGGAGGTTCCTCTAAACGTTCCCTGGGTCCACAGTCCTTGTGCAGCAGGGCCGAAGCCTCGGCACTGCAGGAGAGTGGATCCCCGCTCTCCTGGAGACAGAGCTCTACCGGATCCCCGGGAGCTGGATTTTAAATGTATTGCTATCTCTTTGAGTTCAAACTTTTCCTTTAGCTGTTTAAAAGCACTTCTTCCAGAGACTATGCTGTCAGACAAGAAGCTGAGCCAAAAGATGGGCAGTCCAGCCAGAGGCTAGCTTTTTATAGTGGCAGACTCAGCTCTATGATGTCAAGGAGGAGCTTAACCCATTCCTGGACTCTCAAAGCAGCATAAGTACTGCAAGCTCCTTCTGCTGACTGCTGGCTGCAGTTCAGCAGTTCAGTTCTCACCAGCTCAAGGTTGACCCATCCTTCCATCCTTCCATCCTTCCAAGTTAGATAAAATGAGGACCCAAATTGTTGGGTAAACCTCTTAGAGCAGGCTGTAAAGCACTGTAAGGCAGTATATAAGTAAGTGCTATTGCTATTACTTATTGCAATGGAACCTATACTTATTGGATTGGGGGTTTTGTTCCCAAAAAGTTATACATTCAATTGCAGTGTATTTTACTGAGGTATACATGTATTCTTTTTTAGAAAAATCAACAATGAACATCCATTTATTAAACAATCAAAGAAGCTTCAGAGGAACTTATATCTGATCACTGCATCAGCAGAAGCTGTGGAAACGGCAACGTTTGGAGAATCTAACAAAGTGGAAAGCAGCATCTTTCATAAAGCCTACATCAAACTAAGCCTGGAGGTCTAATCTGAACACTGAATTATCATGAAATTGAAGGAAAGAAAATGCATTTCCTCTCACCAAGTTATTTTATCCCATATAGCTGATGCAAGATTTTATTTTGTCTTTTAGGGTGCCAGAGATAGGAAGAAAATAATCACTATTCCAAAGGGATGCATCTTGGCATTCAAAGCTAAGAAATTATTTATAGGAGAAGAAACTGTAGGTAAGGGGGTTTTTTTATCTGAGGCTTGTGTCAATGACTAGTTTTCTGGAAATGTTACTGTTCTAGCCAAGCTGAAAGTTTCAATGATCTAGCAGTTGGCTGATAACAGATAGAAGTGAGCCGGATAGATATTTGGTATAATAAAGTGCTCATGTTCATCCATTTTCTTAAAAAAGGCAGATGTTGGTACATTTGAGTTCAATCTTCTATTCAATGCAGCACAGCTGCCTATATCTCCTACTCCCAGTCTCTCCACTTTTCAACTGCTTTTATTGTTAAACTTGCTTTACATAATGCAACTGAAATCTTTCTTCCTACAATTTAAAGTCATCATTTTATTCCTGAATTCTGGAATGAATGAGAGCAATGTATGTTCTTCATAACATACAGGTAGTCTGTGATTTACAACTACAATTGAGCCCAAAGTTTTCAGTGCTAAGCAAGACAGGTGTTAACTGAGTTTTGCCCTATTTTACAAACTTTCTGGCCACAGTTATTAAATGAATAACTGCAGTTGTTAAGTTAATAAAAATGTTGTTAAGTGAATCTGGCTTTCACATTGACTTTGCTTGTCAGAAGGTTGCAAAAGGTGATCACATAATCCCAGGATAATGCAGCCATCATAAATACATGCCAGTTGCCAAGTGTCTGAATTTTGATCATTTGACCATGAGAATACTATAATGGTCATGTGAAAAAGCAATGTCACTTTTTTCAAAGCCGTTGCAACTTTGATAGGACACTAAAAGAATAGTTGAAAGTCGATGACTATCTATACAGGTGTTTGAAGAGTGCTATCATACCCTTCCAAGAATAGAATAGAATAACAGTTAGAAGGGACCTTGGAGGTCTTCTAGTCCAACCCCCTGCCTAGGCATGAAACCCTACACCATTTCAGACAAATGATTATCCAACATCTTTTTAAAAACTTCCAGTGTTGGAGCATTCACAATTTCTGGAGGCAAGTTGTTCCATTGATTAATTATTCTGTCAGGAAATTCCTCCTTAGTTCTAAGTTGCTTCTCTCCATGATTAGTTTCCACCCATTGCTTCTTGTCCTGCCCTCTGGTGCTTTGGAGAATAGCTTGACTCCTTTGTGGCAGCCCCTGAGATATTGGAACACTGCTATCATGTCTCCCCTAATCCTTCTTTTCATTAAACTATACATTCTCAGTTCCTGCAACCCTTCTTCATATGTTTTAACCTCCAGTCTCTGCACTGTTTCTAGAGACTCAACATCATGGCGACCAAAACTGAATGCATTATTCCAAATGTGGCCTTACCAAGTGGTCTTAAATATCACGTGATCTTGATTCTATCCCTGTTTATGCAGCTTAGGATTCTATTGGCTTTTTTGGCAGCTGCTGCACACTGCTGGCTCATATTTAAATGGTTGTCCACTAGGACTCCGAGATCCCTCTCACATTTACTACTGTTGAGCAAGGTACCACATATATTGTATCTGTGCATTTGATTTTTCTTGCCTAAATATAGAACCTTACTTTTTCACCATTGAATTTCATTTCGTTAGATAACACCCAACATTCCAATCTGTCAAGATCGTTCTGTATCTTAAGCCTATCCTATGGAGTGTTGGCTATTTCTACTAGCTTGGTATCATTTGCAAATTTGATGATTTCCCCATCTATCCCCTTGTCCAAGTCATTGATAAAGATGTTAAAGAGTACTGGGCCTAAAACAGAGCCTTGGGGTACTCCACTGCATACTTACTTCCATGTAGATGCAATTCCATTGAGGACTACACGTTGAGTGTGGTTGGTCAGCCAGTTACAAATCCATCTGGTGATGATGCTGTCTAATCCACATTTTTTCTACTTTACCTAGTAGTAGGTTATGGTCTACTTTATCAAATGCCTTACTGAGGTCCAAGTAAATTATATCGACAGCATTCCTCTGGTCAATTAATTTTGTCACTTTGTCAAAGAATGCAATCAGATTAGTCTGGTATAATCTGTTTTTAACAAACCCATGTTGGCTTTTGGTTATTACTTTGTTTGTTTCTAGGTGTTCGCTGATTCATTGCTTGATTATTTTTTCCAGAATCTATTTCTTTAATCCTCTTATCATTACTTTCCTTCTCTGAACTTATTTATTCTATCTGGATATGTCTGGAAAGGAAGTGACTTTGACTGAACACAATACTTAAAATAATGTTTGACCAAAATAAATAAAATCAAAGTATTACTTCCATGATAAAAAGTAACTTCTATTGGTACAAACCAAAATTTCATTTGCCTTTTTGCAGCCAGCCATATTGCAAAATGAACACAAGTCAGCAATGTAATCAACTATTATTCTAAAATCTTTTCCTGATTCCACACTTCCACCATCCTATTTCCTAATCCAAAGCATTTCTTTTTTCTAATACAGATAACAGATAACAGCAGAGGTGAAAGTGGACATCCCTGCCTGACTCCCTTTCCTATCTCAAATAAATTTGTCGTTTCTCCATTAATTATTATCTGTGCTTTTTGGATTGAATATATTGACTTTAACATTTTTTCAAATTTGTCCCCAAATTTCATCTCCCTTACTTGCTGTCTCACGAATTGCCAATTTACTTTATCGAAGGCTTTTTGAGCATCCAGAAAAAGTAGTACAGCCTGTTTTTCTGGATGTGCCTCATAGTACTCCAGGATATCTCATACCATCCTTGTATTGTTTTTAAGTTGTCTTATTGGAAGGAAACCATTTTGATCTGTATATATGTATCTACTCAGTATTTTTTAAATCTCTCAGCCATTATATTCATAAATATTTTGTAGTCAGCGTTCAATAAAGAAATTGGTCTATAATTTTTTATCTGAGTGGTATCTGCACTCCCCTTCAGTATCAGTTTAATGTATTCTCTCCACGACAGTGGTAGCTTTGCCTCTGTAAGTGCCTCATTATAAATTTCTAAAAGAATTGGGTCAAATATTTCACCTAAATTTTTATATACAGTTCTACAGATAATCCATCTATTCCACTGCATACTTACAGGGGGGTTTATTATTTTTTTGTTTACTAATTGCCTCTTTTAGTTCCCCCTTAGTGTTCTCTTCATTTAATCTTTCCCTTTCTTCTGTTAGTATTGGAATATTTTCTTCCTCTAAGTACTGTTTAATTCTGTCTTTATTCATATCTTCTTGTTTATAGAGTTCACTAAAATATTCCAGTACTATTTATTTTCCATATTGTTTTGTATCTTTCCCTCCTTATCTTGTAATTGCTGAATCCATCTCTTTTCTTTTTCCTTTCTTAACCTATATGCAAGCCACCTTCCTGGCTTATTTGCATTTTCAAAATAATTTTGCTTTACTAATTTCAATGCTCTTAAATTTCTTTCCTGTTCCAATATGTTCAGTTTATGTTTGGCTAAGTTACATTTGTTTATAATTTGCTCATTCTCTGGTATTAATTGTGCTTGTCTTTCCAATTTTCTAATATCATTCTGTAACTCATTACTTTCTTTTTCTCTCTTTTTTTCTTTCTGGCATTATATGCTATTGTTATTCCTCTTAGGTAGGCTTTCGTTGTGTCCCACAGATTCTGTAAAGAAGTATGTTCTTTTATATTTAATTCAAAAAACAAAATTATTTTTTAAATTTAGCTAAATATTCTTTATCTCTCAGAATTTGTGGGTTCAACGTCCATCTTCCTCTTTGTTTTGATTGGCCTTTCCCTGTTACTATTAGAGGGTTATGGTCTGCCCACACATTTGGTGCTATTTCTACTTGCACTATATCTTTCATTAGAGTTTTACTTATCCACGCCATATCAATTCTCGGCCATGATTTGTGGGGAATAGAATAAAAGGTGAACTGCTTTTCTTTTAGGTTATATGTTCTCCAAATATCAATTAAATTTTGTTCTTCTGCCATATTAAAAAAATGTTTTTGGAAGGGTGTTCTTTTTTTTCTTTTTTTTAACCGGTGCTTGGTAGTCCTTTTTTATGTCTGAGACTGCGTTGAAATCTCCTATCATACAAATATCTTCTTTGCCTAATTCTAAAAAATGTTAATAGAAATTTTGTTGTTGTTTGTTAGGAACATATACTGCAATAAATAAAAGTTTCCTCAGTTCCCATACAACTTTTATCATTAATGTTCTCCCCACTGAATCTGTATATAATACTTTTGCCTTGATTCCTTCTCTAACATATATTACTACTACTCTCTTTTTTTCTTCTGCTAATGCTGCATAGAATTTTCCTAGTCTTTTATATTGTAGATATTTCTTATCCTGAGCTCTAATGTGTACCTCCTGGAGGCACACTATATCCATTTTTTGTTTTACCAATTTCTTTAAGGTTTGATTTCATTTAGATGGAAAATTGAGTCCATTTACATTTACTGACAATATTTTCAAATTATTTTCCATTTTCCTTCTTTGTTGTTACTACTTAGTTCCTGTTGTTTTTTGCCTCTGTTTGTGCCCTTGTTCTTACTCTGTTCTCTTCTTGTGGTCTTTCTTCTCTTTTCTCTACCTCACCTTCCTGCTCTTTTTCTTTCGTTTCTAATTGTTGGTCTTCTTGGCTGCTCGATTCCAATTCTTCTCTGCTGCTGCCCGCTTCTTCTGTTCCTACCAGTTGGGTGTGGAAGTCTTGCGCCTTTTCCAAGGTATCTATCTTAATCTTCTTCCCTTGCCATGACACCAACATTCCCTCAGGTGTTATATCCATCTAAACAATCTGTTATTTTTATTAAATTGAGAGTCCAGGAAGTGATATTCTTTCCACTGTTCACGCACTCTTTTCGGGATTTGCTTTAGCGTAATAATTTCTTTTCCTCTATAGGACATAGGCTCATCTCTGGTGATTTTGTAGATTATATCCCTCACTTTTTTTCATGCAGAACGGATGTGGACCTCCTTTGGCAATTTAAATCTTCTGGCATAGTTCATGTAAACTTGGTAAACTTTGAACAATTCATTAGTTATTTTGCTCTTATCTCTTTGGAGAACTTCTGCGATTATTTCAGCCATTATTGCTGTTAAGT